GGACAAAGCTCCTTGAGTCACTCAATAGAGTGCTTTGCATGCAATAAATTCTTAATAAATATCTGTTGAGTTCTTCAATAAGTATTTCATTCATGTAACCAGAAAGTGGGACATTCAGTCCTATAGAAGACAGGGATACATACCCTGGTGTAGGGGAAGGAGTGCTAGTTTTGGAGTCTGGGGGACCTGGGTTCAAATCTTGTTTCTGCCACTTATGATCTCTTGTGACTCTCTAGGCCTCAAAGTCTTCTCCAATTCTAAATCTCATGACTTTATGAAACTTGCCTGGGGAGTTTGCCTGTGGATCCTAGAAAGGAAGGCTTTCTTACAATTAAGGTTCTTCACACCATCTGTGTGCAAAATTCACTAGTGTTAAAATTCACTAGAAGAAAATTAGTCTTTCAGGCAGCTGCTTTCTTTGGACAGCTTTCCCTCTCTATCCACCAGATGGCAGCATAGTTAATTTCTTTGTAATGCCTTGGGAGGAAAACCGTAATAAATGGGAATCAATGGTAGGACATAACTGAGAGAATGTATTTTCTACATAGCGAAAAAGGAAAAGGGAAGGCAACTGGACATCTATACCAGAAAGCTTTTGCCATTCCTAAGTTTCCTAGCCTTTCTGGCCTGTGGCCACATCCCCACATTTTCCCTTCCCAGGTTTCCTCTCCCTACCATTCTGATGTCCAGTTGTGGCTCTTGAGAGAATTTGTTTTAGGGACCGAGGACCTTAAGGATGGACTTTGGACCTTGAGACACATCAGTACATTGCTGGTTGGAGAGAGACATAGATCCTGCCGGGGGGGGGCGGGGAGAGGGGGGGGTTGGAGGGGTGGAGGGGACAACAGAGTGGGTGCCAGGGTATGGATGGGTTAGGAAGGAGTTCATCAGCATGTAACTGCTGCTAGCAGGAGGCCCATCTAGTAACTTCCTATTTTAACTAATTATTCTTGTTACATAGGTGCTAAGTTTAATCATTTCTACCTTTCAGAGCCCTCTAAGTTTCATCACTTTTAGCAGAGCAGCCCTGATTATGCCCAGCTTTGCCTTTTCCTTTTCTGATCAACCTGGTGAACGGCTCAGGAGGGATTACTGCCAGGCCATGACAAGACTCCCACAGGCCACCATTTTCTTTATTATTGCGGCTTCATATCTTTCCAAAGGTAGAGCATAGGCCGCTCAGTCTTATTTGGATGTAAAAAAGGCCTGGATGGGGGTGAGTGTAGTGGGGAATGATATGGCAGATTGCTCCCTCCTTTCTTCCATAAGGTGAAATTTGAGGCTGTTAGCCTTGTTTCTTTTGTCTTTTGCTGAAGCAGCAAGGCATTCTGAGGGAGAGATAGGAAGTAGCACGAGCCAGTCGAGCCAAACCACTACCACTACCACTTCGATTCTCATTTCCTTTCAGACGCTGATGGAGTCAGTCCAGGAGCCTGATCTCAAGAGCCTCGAGAGTGCATCATTCAGCCAAAACCACTCTCTCCAAAGTTACCAATGATCTTTTAAATGCCAAATCTAATGGCCTTGAAAAAATCCTCATCTTTCTTGACCTATCTATAGTTTTTGATACTCCTCTACCCCTTGGTAATTTTTTCTTTCTATGTTTCCATGGCACTACTTTATCTTGGTTCTCCTACTTGGGAATTGATGAAATCAACAAGTTAAATAATCTAGAAGGAGAAGCAGAGAGGACTCAGGCCAGAGCCCTGAGGGAGACCCATCTTTATTGGGCATGACTTGGATGAAAATCCAGCAAAGACTGAGAAGGAGCAACCATATATGGAGAAGGGGTTCATTTTCCCTTCTCCACCAAACACTAGATAAGACCAAGGAAATGGGTAGAGGAGGGTGGCAATGACCCTCAGGCCACTTCTGTTTCAATTACTCAGTCATTATCAAGGAAGCAATTATTCTGTAGAAGGGGTCAGCCATCCCCATCAATAATAGACCAACTGCCAATTACAGGGCAGGCAAGCCTGCCTACAGGAGAGAAAGGAGGTGGCATGTGCCCTGAAAGTCAAAAGACCACCACCATCTCGACCACCCACTCCCCTCTGATTTGGAGATACTCCAATAGCTTGAATCCAAGAACAAGAAAAACAGTGCCCTCTCAACCCCTGGTCTTGCTTCCAACCCTGGCTTCACTAAGAGAAGCTATCATTTTGGAGAAAGGGCCTACCCTCCCCCACTATGACCAGAACCAACAGCAGACCAACTGCTCCTGATTAGCAGGTAAACTCAACAGTCACAGCAATGACAGCACCTCTCAGACCACTTCTCATCTTCCCATCCCCTTCCCCCACTCCCCTACACACACAACTACTAAAAATCCAGAAAAGAAAATTCTTGCCATCCAAGTCCAATCAATGGTTAAAGCACCACAAAATGACATGATTTTATCAGTAAAAATGATAATAAAGATGAGGCATGACCATTTGCTGCTGCTGCTGTACCCTAAGGACCATGAGACCTTTTGTTTTAGGGACCGAGGACCTTAAGGATGGACTTTGGACCTTGAGACACATCAGTATATTGCTGGTTGGAGAGAGACATAGATCCTGCCGGGGGGGGGGGCGGAGAAAGGGAGGGGGATTGGAGGGGTGGAGGTGGGGGGGGGACAACAGAGTGGGTGCCAGGGTATGGCACCTTCTATATGTCTTGTCTCTCCCATTAGAAAGTGAAAGTCCTTCAGAGCAGGGGCTGTCTTACCTGTCTATTTGCATTCCCAGAGTTTAGCTTAGTGTTTTGTACATAGTAAATTCTTAATAAACTTTTTGATTAATTCGTTCAAACATAAAAAAATTTAAAAGCCACAAATGACATCAGGAAACCTTTCAGGGAGCAGAGTATCAATAGTTTTCAAAATATGCCATAGACTTTTCTGCAAGAGAATGAAAATATCTTACCCCAAGGGGCTTATATTCTATAAGGAATATAAGGAAGATAATAATTAGATAATGTAGATAAAGGAGTTGGAAGTAGCCATTGTGACTAAATCCCATGAAGGAAAAAATGGTATGTTAGTGGATTTCCCCAGGGTTTTAAATAAAGACAGCTTTACCTTTGGAGATTATTCTCCACCAACTCTATTTACATCTTGTATGCACATAGTTATTTCCATATTGTCTCCTCCATTAGCATGTGAGCTCTTTGAGGGTAGGGACTCTGTTATTGCCTTTCTTTCTATTTGCAGAGTTTAGCAGAGTGCCTGGTACATGGAAAGTGTTTAATAAATATTTACTGTATTGAATGACCAGCTGACCAACCATCCCATTATCTCATCCAGTAGGGAACTGGCCAGACATCAGAACCCATCTTCCTTTCTTTAAGAATCTGTCACTCAATCTCTTGGGGTCTCAAATCTCTGCCTCTAGAAAATGAGCAGAGTGGATTAGATGGCTTCTAAAAAAAACCCCAAAACAACCCTTCCAGTTCTCAAGCTATGATCCTATGTACTGACCAAGATTTTTTAGGATAGGGGCAATTCAAAGAAGCTGACCGGAAGCTGTAAGCCCAGAAGAGGGAGAGCTTGATTCAGGGCTAGACTATGGGCAGAACCATGGGAGGCTACCAAGTCAGATCAACTCTGAAGAGAAATCTGGAATTAAAACGTGGGCTTTGGGCCTAGAAAAAGAAGACTTCCTCTCCTCTTCTCCTGCATTCAGCTCACACTCTAATTTAGAAGGGTGAACTGGGAAGTGAAACTGGAAACTGTTGTAGAAGTATATAGTAAGAAATTATAAGTACCTAGCTCAATGCTTTGCAGAGAGTAAAACATAATCTCCTTGAAGGAAAGAGCATTTTTTTTGGTCTTTGTAGCCACAATGCCTAGCATAGTGCTTTGAATCTAGTTATCATTTAGTAAACGGGACTGACCTCCTTGCTGCTCTTTACATATGGCACTCTTGTCTACCAACATCAAGCATTTTCACTGGCTGTCCTCCATTCCTGTAACTTTCTTCCTCTTCATCTCTGCCTTTTAGCTTCCTTCAAGTCTCAGGTAAAGTCTAACCTTCTGCAAGAAACCTTTCCCAGTCCTCTTTAACTTTAACTCCCTTCCCTCTGAGTCTGCCTCGAATTCATTCTGTACCGATCTTGAACACACATAGTTGTTTGCATGGTGTCTCTCCCATTAGACTATAAGCTCCTTGAGAGCAGGGACTATTTTTTGCCTTTCTTTGTAACCCCAGTGATTAGCACAATGCCTGGGAAATCGTAAATGCCAGCTGACTTGACTTGTTGAATTATAACTTACTTAAACAGTAGACACTTAATATGTTGTTGAGTTAGGTGACTTGTATCGTTTATAACCCATAACTTCTTCCACTTTAAATGGCTAAGTATCTTTCAGCAACATCCAGAAATATTTATTGAATTCTTACCATGTGTGAGGCACTGTGCTAGATACTATGGTGGGTGCAAAGAAGTATGAAACTTGTAGGACTGTATATAGCAATTTTGTACTTGTGACTTCTGAAATAGTTACAGGCAATGTAGAAATGTAAATAACTAGGAAAGAAGAGGGGAAGTGCCCAGGGTATGGGCACTTATTCTAAATAGTGCAATGCTGCCAAATGCCTCAGGGATCCTGCCTCTGAGAACTCAATCTCTGTCCTCAAGGGACTTATAACTCAATTGAAACTATGTAGAATGGATGGCCCAAGAAAAATGCAATGTGATCATGCAGTCATGCAAAGAAAAGCTCCTAATCCCCTGGGCATTGCCAAGGAAGAAATACTCAAGTGGTGATGAAACTTTGGCTTGAGAAGGTTTTGACAGGATCACAGCAATTACAGGAGAATAATATGGTTACACTAAAACCCAAGGGGCAGCTAGGTGGTACAGCGGATAGAACACTAGACCTGGAGTTAGGAAGACCTGAGTTCAAATCCAGCCTCAGACACTTACCAGCTGTGTGACCCTAGGCAAGTCTCTTAACCCTGTTTGCCTTAGTTTCCTCATCTGTCAAATGAGCTAGAGAAGGAAATGAAACAGCTTACCTGTGGGGAGGATTGTCCATTAGTTTTCTTGTAAAGTTTAATTTCTCTTCCTGTTAAAAAAAAGGTTAGATAATACATTTTTTGAGTTGCTACCTCTCTACACTTATAGTATATGCCCAAGAACATGAAAAATCAAAGAGACTGGGGAAGGAGATGGTTTGTTTTTCATCGCCCTGCTCCTCCTGAAATTATGCAATGTCTAGAGATGGCCATAGGAAGAAAGCATGTGATAATAGGTAATAAATATCCACAGCAACCATATCCACAGCAACCACAAAACTCTTTTACTGTCTAAGGATGGTGCCAGGACACCTGATTTACTCAGAGGTCACATTCTGCAGTCTCATCACCTGGAACACATCCCCAAAACTGCTTCTCCAAACTTAGTAAGGATGGTCCTTGGAGGATACACAGTTCGTCACTAGATCTGTACTCAGTGTCTTTTCATGCCTGATGGAACTTATGCCGTGGTATATAGGATGCACTGAAGTGGAGAGAAAGAACATGGATCATAGGCAATGAGGTCCTCAACTTTTATAGTGGATACAGAAATGAAAGTGGATTAAGGCAAGGAAAGGATGGATACAGATAGGCCTGAGTCATCAAGAAAAGCTTAAATTGGGTTCAGAGACAGCATGTTTTTCTGGACAGAGAACTGGCCTGGAGCCATGAAGACAGGTTTAAGTCCTGTCTTTGACACATATGGACTGCATAACCCTAGTCAAGTCCCTTAAGCTCCCAGTGCTCTAGGCCAGTCTTTAAGAATAAGAACAGGGGAAGATGGTGGAGTAAAAGCAGTGACTTGCTTGAGCTCTCCCCCAAACCCCTCCAAATACCTATAAAAAATGGCTCTGAACAAATCCTAAAGCAGCAGAACCCACAAAACGACAGAGTGAAACAAATTTCCAGTCCAAGACAACCTGGATGGGTGATCAGAAAGGTATATTTCACAGGGTAGGAAGAGGAGTGCAGTTTAGTGGGCATACAGGTAAAACAGGCCTCAGTGAACCTGGAGCAGGCCTCAGGGGACTGAATCACAGGCAACTGTGATGGTTTCCAGGCATCTCAACCCACGAACACCAAAGACAGCTTAGAAGGTCAGTGGGAAAAGCCTGTGACTGTGGTGAGAGAGAGAAGCTCGGTCCCAACCCCAGTCCCTGAGTGTGCCCCCCGGGGTGGTAGCTGCTTCTGGAGCTTCCAGCCCACAGACTGAGGGAGAATTGGATGGCTTATCGGAGAGGGATTGCAGGGATCTCTTTGCAGGTGCTGAGGCAGGATTCTCTTGCTTTGCCCATGTTTGGAACTGGGTCACAGTTCTGGATGGAGGTCCTGGGGCAAGGAGGGAGGAGTGCTGGTGTGGTGGAGCTTGTAGTGGTGATAAAGAGAAAATTCTCCTCACAGTTCCAAGGCAGAAAAGAGTGCTTGTGGTCACTCACAGACCAGAGCACAGGCCAGGAAAGCAGTAAACACCTCGCCCTTTATCATACCATCTTGGAATAACTGAAAATTTACAGGGCCCTAGAAGTATCTCTGAAAATAACTGCACAAAACCCCCAAAGCTTGGGACAGTACATTCTCCACACCGGAAGCAGACCCCTAACAAAGAGTTTAAAACTCAAGTATTTGGCTGAGATCATGAGCAAACAAAAGTGCAGAAAAAGTCAGACCATAGAATCTTTTTTTGTAACAAAGAAGATCAAAACATACAACCAGAAGAAGACAACAAAGACAGAGCTCCTACATACAAAGCCTCCAAGAAAAATATGAATCAGTTCCAGGCCATGGATGAGCTCAAAAAGGATTTTTAGAAACATGTAAGAGAAGTAGAGGAAAAACTGGGAAAAGAAATGAGAGTGATGCAAGAAAATCATGAAAAACAAGTCAACAGCTTGCTAAAAAGAGACCCCCCAAAAAATGGAGAAAATAATACCTTAAAAAATAGCCTAACCCAAATGCCAAAAGAGGTCCAAAAAGCCAATGAGGAGAAGAATGCCCTAAAAAGCAAAATTGGCCAAATGGAAAAGTCCAAAAGTTTACTGAAGAAAATACTTCCTTAAAAATTAGAATAAAGCAATTGGAAGCTAGTGACTTTATGAGAAATCAAGACACTGTAAAACAAATCCTAAAGAATAAAAAATTAGAAAACAATTTGAAATATCTCATTGGAAAAAATAACTGACCTCAAAAACAGATCCAGGAGAGAGAATTTAAAAATTATTGGACTATCTAAAAGTAATGACCAAAAAAAAAAAAAGCCTAGACATCATCTTTCAAGAAATTATCGAGGAAAACTGCCCTGATATTTTAGAACCAGAGGGCAAAATAGAAATTGAAAGAATCCACCGATCACCTCCTGAAAGAGATCCCCAAAGGAAAACTCCTAGGAATATTGTAGCCATATTCCAGAGTTCCCAGGTCAAGGAGAAAATATTGCAAGCATCCAGAAAGAAATAATTCAAGTATTGTGGAAACACAATCAGGATAGCACAAGATTTAGCAGCTTCTACATTAAGGGATTGAAGGGCATGGAATATAATATTCTGGAGGGCAAAGGAGATAGGATTACAATCAAGAATCACCTACCCAGCAAAACTGAGTATAATCCCTTCAGGGGGAAAAATGGATAGTCAGGGAAATAGAGGACTTTCAAGCATTCCTGTTGAAAATACCACAGCTGAATAGAAATCGACTTTCAAATATAAGACTCAAGTGGAACATGAAGATGTAAACAGGAAAAGAGAAATTGTTGAACTGTTTACATTCCTACATGGAAAGACGATATTTGTAACTCATGAGACCTTTGTCAGTATTAGGTAGTTGGAGGGAAAAAATTATATGTATGTATGTATATAGATATATAGATAGATAGAGGGCAGGGTGAGTTGAAGATGAAGGGGTGATATCTGGAGAATAAAATTAAGGGGTGAGAGGATTATACTGGGAGAAGTAGAAAGGGAGAGGTAGAATGGGGTAAATTATCTCATATAAAACAGACAAGGAAAGGCTCTTATAGTGGAGGGGAAGTGGGGAAGGTGAGAGGCAATGAGTGATCTTATTCTCATAGGATTTGGCTTAAGGAGGGAATAACATACACACTCAATTGGCATGGAAATCTATCTTACCCTACAGAAAAATAGGGGGGGAAAGGGATAAGAGAGCAGGGGGAAGATAGAGTGGAGGGCAGATTGGGGGAAGGGGTAATCAGAAGGGAGTACTTCTGAGGAGGGACAGGGTCAAAAGAAAGAATAGAATAAATGGGGGGGCAGGATAGGATTAAGGGAAATAGAGTTAGTTTTCCCACAATATGACTACTATGGAAGTGTTTTGCACAACTACACATGTACAACCTGTATCAAATTGCTTGTATTTTCAATGAGGGTGGGTGGGGTGGAAGGAAGGGAGAAAATTTGGAACCCAAAGTTTTAAAAACACATGTTTAAAAAAATTGTCTTCTCATGCAATTGGGAAATAAGAAATATAGGAAATGGGGTATAGAAATCTATCCTGCCCTACAGAAAATAGAAAAGGAAGTGCATAAGAGAAGGGAGGGAGAGAGAGAATGGAGGGCAGATTAGGGGGAGGGGTATTCAGAATGCATGCCATCTTGGGGTGGGGGGAGGGGATAAGATGTGGAGAAAATTTGGAACTCAAAGTCTTGTGGAAGTGAATTTCATTGAAAACTAAAAATAAATAAAATTTTAGAAAAAGAATAAGAACAGGGGGCTCTCTGTGGAGTGTTGATCTGCACTGGTAGAAGAAATTCCTTAAAGGGAGCTTCTTATATCAAGTCAGGTAGTGTTATTATCTTAAAATAGCCATCTTCTGGTTAAATGAGCATTCAGATTTATCAGGGAATATTAAAATTGTTTAATGTATTTTTGGCTCAGTTTTAAATTTCTCTCTAAAATCCATACCTTTAGGCAATTTTTTTTTTGCTTCTAATAACTCTTTAAATATGTTTCCATTATTTGAAAATAAGATGTAATTTTACCTTTTTTATATTGCTTGGTATTAACGCAGTCAGAAGATAAAATGTTAAGCCACATACTGTTATTATCTTAAAATACCTGTCTTCTGGTTAAATGAGCATCCAGATTTATCAGAGAATCTTGAAATGGTTAAACATATTTTTGTTTCAGCTTTTAAATTTCTCTCTAAAATCCAGGCATTTAGGAAATTTTTTTTTGCTTCTAATAATCCTTTAAATATGTTTCTATTACTTGAAAATAAGATGCACTTTTACCTTTTTATACTTCTTGGAATTAATACAGAAGACAAGACATTAAAACAAGTAGTGTTATTGTCTTAAAATATTTTAAGCCAAACAATCACATTTTAATCTCCATTTCTATGGCATCATCAGCATTCAAAGGCATGTGCCCACATTTGCAACAAAGGCCACATTAGGCGAATATTCGTTTCAAGGTGAGAGGCAGCATGGTATATTATAGCTAGGGAGCTAGCATCTAAGTCAGTTAGACTTAGGCTTAAGTCCCACCTCTGATAAATACTGTTTACAGGGCCCTGGGCATGTCATGACCTTTTAGAGCTCTAGGTAACTCTCTAAGACCTCAAGCTATTGCAGAGGCTGACCTAAATGGGAGTAGGGCATTTCCTTCTCTGGGAGTTCTTTATATTAATGAAACCACAGCCCCAGTCCCTATTCTTATAGGTAGAAAGAGTGCATATGGGGAAAAGCACAAGGAAAGACAAAATGAGAAAAAAATATGTATATATAAACTTGCATAAAGGACAGAGAAGAATTCTACTTGACTGCTGTAGAGGAAGAATGTGGGAGGATTACAGAGGGTCTAAACTTGATTTAGCAGGCATTATAGAACAAATTGCTCTTTGAGCAGGAGGAAATAATACAATGAAAGTGATGCTTAACAAAGATTAATTTGGCAGTAGTGTGTGGGACGGATTGGAGGCAGGGAAAGGCTAGAAGTAGAGAGACTTCTGTGAGACTGTTGATGTAGGGTAATGCCCATGTGGACCAGTATAGCGGCAGTGGGAATGGAGAGATTGGGGATGAATTCAAGAGTAGTTC